ACGCAAAAAATCTGACTCATTTCGCTTGAATCGCTCCAACAGGGCCTTGGAAATGTTCATTCGAATGCGTTTTTGGTCCAAAGTGAGTAAGCGCGGCACCCAACGCGCGGATAGCTTGCGCATATCCAATTCTTCAGTCAAGATATGACAAACGTGTTCTTTCGATAAGCCCATAGCCTCTGCTATCTCTCTAACCTTGATTCGACGGTCGTCCAGTACCATTTGGTGAACATTTTCGATGTTATCAGCGGTCGCAGTTTTTAGCCGTTCCGAACGCTCATCATCAGCCAAACTGGTACGACCACGTTTAAATTCAGCTGTCCATCTTTTTACGGTGGCAAATGATGGGGCAGAGTCCCCGTAAGCATCCAATTCGATTTTAATTTGCGCAGGCGTATTGTCTTTCAAATGTAAGAATTTAATCACAACACGATATTCAATTTTTTCCATTTTTACAAAAACACTGACATCGACCACCGCTGATAACATCGAAAATAGTTAAATTGCAAGCGCGCGGTGAGATAGTATTGCCCAGTAAGACACGCATTCGCCATCGCTAGGCATGCGTGGAGCACGCTAGGCGCACATAACGTACGTAGATGGAAGTGTAGCCAATGCCGCTTGTAATCAATAACTCCACGCGTGCCTAGCGACGGCGAACGCATGTCTCATTGAGCGGTCCTGCGCGCTTGCAATTTGACCACTTTCATAAATTAAAAACTCGTTAACTATTGCAAAAATTGCATAATAGTATAAGACTTTTTGACTCACAAGGAGATAGCAAGAATTGTGAAATACAAAATTGAACGAGCTATAATTCATTCGAAAGGGAAGATCGAAAGTATAAAAAGTGTAAAAGAATTTGAGTGCATGGACCTTAATTTCGGAAAAATTTACATACAAAGTTAGGTATTCGGCTAGTTGTACGGTATTATGAAGTATTATGAATAGCTCAAACAAAGCGTGAAGCGCCATGACTGCACAGTCTAAGGCTCGCGCGTGTAATCTTTTTCTTTTGTGGCAAGGAGAGTTCGAGACCACGCAATAACAAGTTTTTTTTTAATAATGGCTATTCTTTGTTGACAAAATTAATTCTTGTTATTATTTATAATAAAATTACTAATAATATACATTATTATTATATGTATTAAAAAATAATGACAATTTTTATACATATATTAATGTTTATTTATTTTTTTTTATTTATTATAAAATTCGGGCATTGCAACACAATGTTGTGGATTAAAATTGAAATAAAAACATTGGAAACACAAATGGATCGCACGCCATGAACATTTGATAAAAGAAATTTTTTTTTATTTTTTATATATATGCACAATAACTATATATAGACTATATATAGACAATAAAATTTTGGGCTGTATATATATATATATATATATATATATATATATATAATAACGATAAGCTCAAATGACTTCCCCCTCCATAATTAAAATGGCGTAAATTATAACTTCTTATTACCCGATCGACCATCCGTCGAGATATCGACACGGCGATCCTCCGCGATTCCACTATCGAACAAATTCGCATTGACCAGACTCCAGAATTTACGAGAACAGCGCGCATTTATCATAATAATCCGCGCATTAGGTCACTGCCACTGGTCCCGTTACCGATCGCACTGCCGAACGGATTCACAGAATCGCCGTTTGGCGAAATTCGCGGATCATTCGGCAAAATCATCGCGGAGTCAACTCCAGGACCCAAGTTCGGCCGACCTGTTCTCGATCCGTCCAGATTTACGACCGACTCGGGCATATTAGCTGACTCCAACGAATGGTTTTCGCTTATTCCCGGCGAGACAGTAATCAATCCAGTGCTGATCTCGGTGAATACCTGTCCTGATATCTGTAAGCGATCTTAGGATACTACCTAGAAAGCTAGGAGCTCCTGGCGGATCGCTCCTATCTCCGAAGCTTTCTCTCGAGCTAAGGCTTCTTAGCTTGGCCCCCGAAACAGACCCTTGCGTGCAAAATCCATCGCTATTGGTGACAGAGCAGGGAGCTTCTTGTCTCCGAATCGCAGCAAAATCTAAATTCTATTTCTATTTCTATTTCGGACCGAAAATCCGTCCCGAAAAGACTTTGACGCGACATGACAGCTGAGAATCAACGCGACAAAGCGATTTTTCTAATTGCATTTACAGATTTAAGAATCCTTTCTAATTGCACTGATAGATTTAAGAATCCCCGGACAAATAATTTTCCGTTATTGTCTGCTCTACCAATATCATGATGCACACAAATTTTCAGGCACGCTAATCTTTTATATCACTTTTTCAAGCCTAATTATAAAAACTCTATATTGTTCCTGCATGTAATTTGCATCTCATACTGGTCTCATTTTATACAAGTAGGTTGCCAAATTTTTATATGAAGCAAATATTCGCACACGTTGACAGCTCTTGACTCCATATTAGATTAAGAATAAAAAAGATCGAAATTTCTTAAATCTTTTTCATTCTCGGTATAACATCGACCGGTATGAGTTACATTCGTGCATATATTTTAATTGTGGAAAAAGATTCTTAAATCTGTAAATGCAATTAGGAATATAGCGTGCTGAAAATTAATCGATTTGGTTGATAAAAAAGGATCGATTTTAGGATCCCCTTAAGTTGTTGTGCGATTCCCGGAACTCGCGTATACTTTTGGCGAATAACGCCCGAAATTCTTGTATATATTGTAAATATCAAATGAAATAAGATTGTAAAAGCCTAGTCAGTAATAAATAATTCACATCAAATCTTCTATGTTTTATCTACCAAAACTTTCTCTCTTCCTGGCAACCCGATTGGATGTTATCCCGCGAACCGTGAAAACGAGCCGCGTAACCGTTTTAATATAAAGTACGCTAGTCTATTTTTTATACTGTTCATTATCGTTCATATTTATACTGTTCATGATCGCGACAATGTATTATAATGATATACATTTTTCGGTTAATTCTTTGAATCGTAACTGGAGCGCAAATGCGAAAAAGGGAGCTTTTCAAGATCGGAAGTTAATTGATTGTGACTGACAATCAAAACGACTGAGCCACAGCGTATCACCGAGAACTGTCAATCGTCTCCAAATCTCCCCGTCCAGCATTCCCATTCCCTTCCCTTTACGTGTCAGAATTGATTTTTTCCGACTTTATCCTTTCCGAACCGAAACCGAGTTCGATATAAAAAGAAAGATATAAAAGGAATATCTTTGACAGTTCAACCGATGCTAGCACCCGCTCTGAACTGATAACTACTCTGGAGTTTCTGAAAGACTTCGTTTTAAATTTCGATCCACTCTAAAGCGGATTTCAATCCGGCATGATTCAGAAAAGTAGAGCTACTCGGTGAGAACCGTGCCGCGCTCCTGCGCGTGCTTTATTCGGTTTAGTGTGAACTGTGTTTATCTGATAATTGGCAATCCCTTAAAAACTGTCCTGTCTCTTTAAGGATGACATGGTTGTGCGTTCATAAAAAAATTCTAGTTAGCGAATTTAACGTCGGTAAGTACATCGGATGAACACAGTATCTTGTCTTTGTCTTTGTATACACTGAAGATGACTCAAACTTGCGTCGAAATGTATGTTTTGTATTTTAAGTTATAAGAAAGAATGTCAATTGCGCATCGTAAATAGCGCTGATTCTCATTTGCTCATTTACCACATCTTATTTTATTAATTTTCTATGTATGTGAAAAAAGTACATTTCTTATTTTTTTTCTCTTATATTACAGACACTTGAGGAACAATTCGCTTCGTTACAATTGGAGGAGCATTGATGATGAAGCAATGGTGATTCCCGAGTCAAGTGCGAGGCGATATATAATTATAAATACTCTATTTATTATATCTCTATAATTACTCTACTATTAATATTCTATTTTTATAATTAAATCCATTGCGTGTGATCTTATACAATATACATACTTAAATAAAAAAAAAAAATTCTGAGTCAAAATAATTATGATTAATAATAAAAGTTAATCATTCTTTCCTAAATCTCTTTATATCGAGTGTTATATACAATTTTTTTTAAGGAAATTTTAAAGAATATTATAAGAAATATTATTCTTAACAAATTTTTAAAATTTATTATTAATCTTAATTTTTGTGGGTTGATATTGTTCTTATATTTTATTAAAAAAAAAATTTTAATTTGAAAGAATATTTTTTCAGTATACACTACAATTGATCTTAATTACAGGGAAGAAAAAAAATAAAAAAGAATATATTAATATTGTTACGTCCGGCGGACGTCACGATTCTTCACTCTTTTCGGAGCGAACGGGCGAACTCCAATACAGCATAAAAAAATATCATTCTGTAAACTAAGATAATTTTTACTTTAGCTCCGTGGACGCCAGCCTACCGAACACGTGAACCTCAGACCGAACACGTGAACCTCAGTTGAGGGCTCGTTTTTCGAGCCAACAAACTAAACTATAAAACCCGATTGAATTGCAACTAAGCTAAGATAAGATTTGAGCCATATGCCGAGCGCAAAGAAACCCTTAGTGCACTGGCGACGACGAAAAATCATAAATCGCCCGAGTAGGTATCTGCTTTCCTTCATGGGAGACTGCGTATTCGAATAGCCGCCTTCGTGGCATCGGTTATTTAAATCGCCGACCACCTATTCAGCCACAAATATTTAAATAATGCTATATGTTGATAAAGGCTCAGACCCACTACCTAACTATCATCCCTAAAAATTCTCCCCGTACCAATCAGACCTTTTTTCCAAAATTCTGAACTACGATAGGCTAACTCCCCCACATCCCTAATGACTCGCTAATTCCTATTCATTAAAGACTCACGAGATATTCTTAATTCCCGAACCGAAACTCCACTCCGCGACAACTTTTTACCAGGATTCTCCCCGGAGGAAACGCACTTCGAAAAGGCACTTTGCACTTATTCTTTGACCGATAGTTTTCACGCGCTCTGATCCGTTAGTTTTTTTCGAGCAATTTTAAATCTTTTTTTTTTTGGGGCATTCGTGTCGAACCTGCCCGTCCGTTTGCATTCGCTTTTAACTCTTGGTTTAGTTGTCGATTCTCTCCAAAGATTTAGTAACCGCAGATTTAGTTAATAAACTTTAATATTGGGACGGGATATATAATATATTTTAAATTAAAATAAATCTTCAACTTCTTTAAATTATCACTTTATTAAATTTGAGCAGCAGTGTCTTTTGTGCACCCTTGTTTTTCAACTTCCCTGCGGAACCCTGCAGAGAACTACTGGTCGCTGGTCCCGACCCCCAGCTTGTCTCTCATCGATCTATCTGCAACGACATTTCTTGTTATCATCACAGTAGTAAGTCAAATGGATTAATACGACCTACAATCTACCCATCACCACTTAAATATCAATTGTTTCCCTTCGCTCCCCTCCCCCTTACTTACCTTTCTGAGCCTGCTTAAGGTTTAACACTTTAACACTTACATGATTGTTCGTTTAAATTATTCTATTGTTTTTTTTTGTTTATTTATTTATATTGTAAAAATCGGGCATGGCTTTAAATATTTTAACGTAAAGTTACCCCGAACTGCCATGCCCGACGACCTCCGCACTTTTGTATATACCCGCGTGCTACACTTACATGAAATTTTATTCCATTCCATGCACCCATTCGAAATGATATTAACCGTTATTATCATCTACCTAGTAATCACTATGCGTACCATTTCTCCTTTATGTTAAGTAATTGCGTTTTAATTTTTGTACTTTGTTCGTTTACTTTAGTTAATTAAATGATTATTTTAATGATAAATCAATTTATTCGTTAATAATTTAACCCTCTCGTCACGCTCGTTCCCACTCTCGGGGATCGCATATGGTCCTATCCCAGGCAAAAGAGATTAAATTCTCGCCTAAATTAACAGACCGACGGACGTATGTCACGCAATCGGAATCATAGCGTCTTTTTCAAGACCCGTATCAGCTGACCTATACGGTGCGTTCGACTCGCACGCTCCAGAGCGGCCACCTGCAAGAGGATATTCGGTGTGTCCTTCCTTACCCCATCTCTTCGACCTTTAACTAATAATTCCGGGGTCTGGACATAACAATATTTTATGTATTTTTATTTTTATTTTTATTTTTATTTTTATTTTTCAAAATATTGCAATTCTTTCTGTCGTTGCGACTACCAGTTAAATATTTTTAAATACATTCTGTAATGCACAATGTTTCGAATATTTTCCACATCTTAAAGTATCATTAAAGTATTATCTAGAGTATTCAAAGATTCAATATCTTTGTAATCCACATCCAAGGTTTCGATAATTGCATCATCCCTCGTACCGTCATCGAACATATCTTTCAAACCATTCTCGTTTTTTTATATCCCTTAACGTATATGAGAGCCTCATAACCATTCTCTTCCATATCAAATCCGGCAATCAGACGTTTCGCCATGCTGTATGGGACCATACCGTCTTTCCATTGCAATTCATGGTGATATGCAATCAACCAGGAAGCTTCAGATTTTTCGGACTTTAAGTGCGCACGCACGCATGCACGCACGCACGCACGCACGCACGCACGTACGCACGTACACACGTGCATACATACATACATATACGAGTATGTATATATGTGCATATGTACGTATGTATTAGGTGTATAAAAAAGTTCTGAGCTTTAGATTTCATACAATCGAAATAACAATTTAAATTTTATATATCTTCCCACCCTTTTGCGGTTTTAAAGCGTTGAGATTTGGCCTTCTAAAATGCCATACGGTTTGGCATTTAATGCACATAACCTCAAAAATCAGTAGTGTTCACGATGGCAATAACAAAAGAGTATATTCGATTTTCCATTCACTTCGCGTTTCATCTGAAGAAAAATGCTGCTGAAGCCACTGCAATGATTTGTGCTGCATATGGAGAGAATGTTGTAAGTCATGCTACATGTAAAAGATGGTATCAAAAATTTCGCCAAGGAGATTTCAGTCTTGAAGATGAACCGCGTGCTGGACGCCCTCAAAAGATTGAAACGGACGAATTGCAAGCACTGCTGGATATAAACTCTGCGCAAACTGAAAAGGAGCTTGCAGAACAGCTTGGCGTTACGCAGCAAACATTTCCGTACGTTTACATACGATGGGAAAGATTCAGAAGGAAGGCAGATGGGTTCCGCATGAATTCCGAAGACAACAAAAATCGTCGGCGTGACACTGCACTCACTTTGCTTTCAAAGTTCCGGAAAAAAGATTTTCTGCACAAAATCATTATAGGCGATGAAAAGTGGATTCTTTATGATAACCCTAAACGTAGAAAATCATGGGTTGACCCTGGTCAACCTTCGACATCGACGCCAAAGCCCAATATCCACGCCAAGAAGGTTTTGCTCTGTATCTGGTGGGATTGGAAAGGTGTGTTGTATTACGAATTGTTACAATCGGGTGAAACAATCACGGCAGACCGCTACTAACAACAATTGATCAATTTGAGCGATGCAGAAGAAAAGAGGCCATTTACTGGCCAAGGACATCGTAAAGTGATCTTGTTTCATGACATGCTCGACCACATGTTGCGAAAGCGACTCAGGACCATATCTTTGTATTAGGCTGGGAACTTTTCTCGCACGCGGCGTATAACCCAGATATGGCGCCTTCCAATTACTACCTATTCCGGTCGCTGCAGCATCATTTGGCTGATATACATTTCGTGAGATTTGAAGAGATACGAAAATGCATTGATGACTTTATCGCTTCGAAGCCGGTGAGCTTCTATCGTCAAGAAATTTGCAAGCTACCCGAAAGATGGTAAAAGGTTAATGCAAACGGGGAATATTTCGCTGATTAATATTTTTTTGTTTGTTTTTGAGTAAAGATTGAATTTTACAAAAAAAAGCTCAGAACTTTTTTGTACCTAATATGTTGCCTCTGTACCATACCGTCCATCCCATTTTGTTATCAATTTTACATCCACGTGATTCCGAACATTTTCTATTGTTTTCTATTGTTTAAATATTGCGTTGTTCATCAATTTATACAAATTTTTTTCAAAATCGTGCACGTTCTAAAATATATTAAGTTCGATGTAATCGCGGAGCCAGGTGGATTGAACAAATTGTAGTATGCGATGTATCTTTGCGATACGAAGACCGTGGCGCGTACATTGCTGCAGGTTGCGGTAATGGATGACGTACCGCTTCTTATCGTCGCAAGAAGTTTATCCTGTCGCGTGCCGGGTGGTTTATCGCGCATCAGAAAAGTAGGTCAGTATATCGGTCATACAGATGACGCAGATATCGATCGAAATCAATCTCGAGAATATAACCTGTAGGCGAATCCGAAGCGATCGCATTCGCATCAAAATTTGCAACGTCTTCGATCCATCGAAATTCAGCATAAGGCAGCGGTTGATACATTGCCCATCCATACAGATTATTCATCGTACATCATTATTCGTCGTACATCAAATATGACGACAGTTTTGGTGGGTCATATGAACGCATGTATTTGTTATTGGCCTGCGCATATCTGCCGAAACATTGATTGAGGCCGCTGCGTATACCGCGCTCGATAAACATAACCATATCGATGTCGGTGAGAAACTCAAATTTTACGCGTGTATAATTCAAGCGTCCCACATGAAACCTGGCAAAATGTAGTAATACGCGGGATCGAGACTAACTTTTGATACAATTTTCGCGGAAATTTTCAAAAACGTTGGCCAATAACAAGACATCGGTTTTTAAATACAAATCGCTATATTCGCCTAGGGTTTCAATAGAAAACTGCTGCCAGACGTTCGCAGCGTGCGCGTAATCGTTCTCCGATACAATGTTACCGATCAACGAGCTATAGAATAATTCGCGCGATCCATGTATTCATAGGGAAAGATACTTTTACGTGTCAACAAGTCAAAATTTTCGTTTGATAATGTTGAAAATTCGGGACGTAAAATTTTTAATTTTTCCCTCATTAGAAAAGATGCCAATTTATCGAAGCTGATACTTTAAAATTTGTACAATCGATGAACCGTAGTCGTATGCAATTTCGCGAATCTCGGCGGTCTTTAACATGTTTAGTAAATGAAATGTTTAGTAAATGAAATGTATTTTTCTTTTGTTATCGGCAGTCGATCCTGCCTTCGAACGTAGCTATTTCCGTGATGACAAAGTACGCGTCATAACTGAATAAATTGTGAAATACGGGAATGCAATATGAATCTTTATAATTTAAATTGCAATTTGAATGCGCGAAACTATAGTAAGGTGGCAATGATCACGTACCCGCGTGTCGTCCGACGCAAATTGACAACGCGTCGCGCCATGGTAAGCCTCCCACTGTTCTCTCGATAACGTTTCCATGGGGCCATTTGCGGATAACAAAATTTTTACTCGATGCGCTAAGTCTTCGAGTTGTCGAACGAATCACGCAATGCAGTTTTCACCGCGACGAAACCGATACGCCAATAATGCGTCATTGTATGAGTATCGTACGTAATATCCGACGCTAAATACCTCATGCTGCTGATAGATATACGACGCGTCTTCCTTCTTTGATTTCATTCGCCGTAGTACATACTCCAAGTCCGCGTACACGATGAATGGAAGTCGTTCCTTATTCATGTGATCCTTAAATGTAAGCCACTTGTCGTCTTCACTCGGCAATTGGATAGCAGTCGTTCATCTGTTCGCAATCCATTGTATGCGACTGCAATTTTTCAGATAAACTGAAATAATGTAGACATCTGCAAAAAAGGAATATATGATTTTTTTAATATTTAATAAACAATTATAAAAATTATACAATTTTTTTGTTAAAATGTGTATACGTACCGATCGCAAAAGAATTTCTTGTATTTCTTTCTGTTTATTTGCGAGTTCACGAGAGAGGACAGGTTTTTTATGTACGCAAAGTGCCCCGTGTTGTCATCGCGCGGATCTTGAATATACAATAAATTTACGTGTTTCTCCATCTTCTTATTTATCAGCCGTATCGGGAGAATTTTCTTTTCCTCGATGCCATAAACGTTAATGGAGATGGAGTTTTGAATTTTGCATTTTTTTATTTGATCCAATGTCACTGGAAACTCAATATCTTAGAGATTCAAGACTGACGTGTAATGTGGATACAGCGATTCCCGATCTTTATGCCTTTCAGCCGGATGCAAGGCCGCGACATGGCCGCAAGGCACCGACCACCCGAAACACGCATTGTCTCCGGATCGTACGTTGATCACCGCTTCAACATAATTTTTTGCGGTAATTCGATGTAATATCTCGCGTGTATAGAATTATATTTGTTTACATTTACAGTGAGATTGAGAATTCGCGACAACGCCTATCCATGCCCTGTCACTTGGAATTTTTCGAGCGATGCCAACGTGGGTTCGATGACATACTGCTTATATCATTCGTCCACATTTGACACTCGAAAGAATTCATAGTTGACACTTTTATTAGCGCGTTTATCGCCCGTCACAAACTTGCCGTTGAATGCGGTATTCACTTTTACACTACCATGTCTTTCTATAGCGTTTTGCATTCGCTCGAGCACTACACCACCAGTCTTCCAAAAATCGTCGCGGCTATAGTCCATGTTAATCACTACACCAATCAATATACGGCTTTCGAACGCAGTATAAATCTCTCGCCAAGAGATCCATTGTCTCTACTCTAGTGCTCGCGTACTAATCGACGTGCATGAAACATCTTAATTGTACCTTTGCACCCGCGATCCTCGCCATCACAGATTGTTTGTTTCCGACGGTGAGTCGAGAACGCTTAACACGACTAAGTTCCTCGAGGTATTCGATGCACTCGTCGCATCGTTGCAGCGAAACACTCTAGCCCGCTAAAGTAGCGACTTGGCTGCACTGCTCCAGCAACTCGCGTTCTATTCGTTCTAGATGTTCCATATTTTTTTTTATATTACTCTTCCACAGAGCACTTGCAGATGACTCGTTCACAATATTGCTTTTCTCACTTTGTGCAAAAAGGATACATATTACACGGTATTATAGAGGCTGTCTGCAGTTGGAACAAGATCGGCCGTTTAGCACACTAAGAGAATTTATTTCATGCTTCCTAACAGCATATATTGCGATATTAGTGTTTGTCAGAGGTCCAATCCACATATCAGAGCACATACACCATCCGTTGAATAATAAAAATGTATCATGCAATGTTTTTTTACGGAGATTCAGAGCAAAGAATTTCGAACGTATGACAATTTTCTCTTCATGATCCGTAAGGTCCTCACTCTGATCACATAGGTAATCATCGTCAGACAATGCGTGCTCTTCATCGGAAAACTCTTCTTCAATATCAATATCAATGTCAATGTTTTCAATATTGATGTCCATTTCTTCTTCTCCAAACATTTCGTTCACTATACCCGCGTTTTCAGGGTATATATTTTCAATATCCTCAATTATTAAATTTTCGACACGATCAATTATTTTTTTTCTATTTCCGCGCGCCCTAGGAGCTATATATCGTTGACAATTTTCTTATCCCTTTATCTAAACCGGAGCATAGACATCCCCTTTATTTAAACCGGAGACATCATCATATGCCTTCCGAATCACAATTTGTTTATAGCAGCCGAATTATTGGCACTTTAAATATTTTTCCCATGCCCTTTATCTAAAAAATAAATTATAAATATTGTCCAAAATAAATAGTAGCCGAAATATCGACACTTCTCTTAATACATCATAATACGTACAATCATCGAGTTTTACGAAGAGTCATCTTTTCACGGCTCTTTCTAGAAAAAAAATTGAATCATTGTCTTTTTTTTTCTTTTAAACACGTTATTGGCGCTTCTTTTAGCGAGCATATCGCGATTTGATTAGTTTGATTAGTTACCTTACACTAAAAATTAACATAAAGATGAATAAATTACATATTTTGAAGATAACATTGAAATTGATATCCAATAAAAGAAATTGATAGGGAATATAATATATAAAGAACTCCGAACAAAGTTACTACAACATTCGTTGAGTTCTAACACATTATATATTAGTCGCATTTAGTCGCTCTGTAAAAAAAAAACGAACAGTTCTTATTACTACAAAATTTTCAAAAATGTATGAAAAGATGAATTATTACATCCCAATTCGGCAGGATGAAACATACAATCAACAGTAAGTTTTTTTATTCTCCATAAAAAATTTTTTAAGACAATTTTTTTACAACTTATTTTTTACCTGTAATCTTTTTTTTCTTATAGTACGTCTTCTCAAAATTCATCACCTTGTTATACAGCTCGTATTTTTGGGAGAAGATTTGCATTAACATCCACACAAAAAATATCTGGATATTGGAATTAACATGGGACCAATGTCCCATGTAGAATTGATTCTTGGCGATAATCGAAGCAATCAGATAATATTGCCTCATGCAACTTGGAAGATGTTAATTGATAGACGCGCGAATGTCGAACGACTTGTGCAATCGACTGTGGTTTCATTATTAATAATTCATTTGGTTATAGAACTCGTTAAAATGTATAAAAAAAATATTGTAAAACTGACATTGCGCGATACTTGCTTGTACATGAAGCCATCAACCAACTCTTTTTATTTGAATTAGAACATTGCATCGAGCATGCATATATCTGGTTATGTCAGAATATACACAACATAAATGAAAAATTTAAACAATTTATAACCTTTTTACGCCAAAATTGTATCGCCAATAAATGCGATGCGGCGCAAGTTTTGCGCAAGATTTATGATAAAAATTCACCCATAGAGTGCGAATTAATATCTTATAAATAATATTATGC